TTTGAGACAGAGTCTCACTCTGTTGCCCAGGCTGAAATGCAGTGGTGAGATCCAGGCTCCCTGCAACCTCTGCCTCCCAAGTTCAAGCGATTGTCCCACCTCAGCCTCCTGAGTAGCTGGGATTACAGGCGCAGGCCACCACGCCCAGCTAATTTTTATATTTTTAGTAGAGACAGAGTTTCACCGTGTTGGCCAGGCTGGTCTCAAACTTCTGACCTCAAGTGATCCTCCTGCCTCTGCCTCCCAAGGTGGGATTACTGGGGTGAACCACTGTGCTCAGCCTCTAAACCTACTTTTGATAAAAGACTTGATAGTTATTTTTTTCCTATGATCTAAAACGATAAATATGTAAGAGAAACCGTCAAGACAGGAAGTTCTGCAAGACATGTTACAACAGTGACCTAATGGAGGCAAAAATATCAAGATCAATTTCAGCGCAAAGAAAAAGATGGTACTGGCTGGGCATGGTGGCTCATGCCTGCAATCCCAGCACTTTGGGAGGCCAAGGCGGGTGGATCACTTGAGGCCAAGAGTTCAAGAGCAGCCTGGCCAACACGGTGAAAGTCCGTCTCTACTAAAAATACAAAAATTAGCTGGATTTGGTGGTGTGCGCCTTTAATCCCAGCTACTCAAGAGGCTCAGGCAGGGGAATCGCTTGAACCTGGGAGGCAGAAGTTACGGTGAGCTGAGATCGTGCCACTGCACTCCAGCCTGGGTGACAGCGCAAGATTCCGTCTCAAAAAAAAAAAAAAAAAGGAAAAGAAAAAGATGGTACCTACCCAACGTATTTTGATAAATTGGAAAAATTCTGTTCCCCAAACCTGGCAAAAATAGCACCAAACAACAAAAATAAAACCACTCTCATTGTCTTTGTCTTTTCAAATATCAAAGAAATCAAAGAGGCAGCAGTTAGAAGTGAAATAATGCAAAGTCCTCCACGCTTCGTAAAGGAAAATTAGGAAGACTGATTTTGTTGTTGTCATTACAGACAGGGTCTGTCTCACTCTGCTGCCCAGGCTGGAGTGCAGTGGCGTGATCTCGGCTCACCGCAGCCTCAAACTCCTGGGGTCAAGCAATCCACCCACCCTGCCTCCCAGAGTGCTGGGGTTACAGGTGTGAGCTACCGTGCCCTGTCTAAAGTGGTAAATTTGCTGTTTTGTGCATTTTACCATATATTTTCTTTGACTACAGGAAGAAAAAAATATCTACACAGAGGCCGGGCATGGTGGCTCATATGACTTTGGGAGGCCGAGGACGGTGGATCGCCTGAGCTCAGGAGTTCGAGACCAGCCTGGGGAACATGGTGAAACTCCATCGTTACTAAAGATACAAAAATTAGCTGGGCGTGGTGGCAGGCGCCTGTAATCCCACTTACTTGGGAGGCTGAGACAGGAGAATTGCTTGAACCTGGGAGGCAGAGGTTGCAGTGAGCCAAGATCACGCCATTGCACTCCTGCCTGGGCGACAGAGTAAGACTCCGTCTCAGAGTCAGAAGAAAAACAAAAAAACAAAATCTGCCACAAAACCCAACTAAAAAAAAAAAAAAAAGTTCTGAGCATGGTGGTGTACCTATTATCTATTTCTCCATCTGAAAAAAAAAGTTCTGATGGAAAAAAAGCCTGAATCCTAGAATTTAAGGGAAGGTTTCGAAGTGTTTTCCTGTGACCCCAGCTCTGTGGGCCTGGGCGGGTGCTTCACTGCTGCCTCAGCTTTCTCACCCCGAAAGCAAGAAAGGAGCGCTGGGAGTGGCGACTTCCAGCCTCCTCCACTGAGGGTGCCAGGGGAAGAGGTGGGAGGGTGGGAGGGCAGCCGGGCGGGCAGGCGCCTCCCAAGTCAGGGCACTGTGCAGGTGATGGTGGCGTTCTACCTGCAAACACCTCCAGAGCACAGAGTGGGAACAGCAGCTGCCAGAGGCACCCCCGGAGCCGTCTTTTGGGCACTGACAACAAGCCTGCATCAGGATGGGGGGAGCTCCTGCAATCTCCTGTTCTTGTAACTGACATCGCCACCACGCTGAAATCCACACCGTCCCCACCTCTGGAGAGGGTGCCCAGCAGGGGCGGCTTGAGAACCTCCTGGGAGCCGGAGGCTCTCCATGCTCAGGACCTGCGACGCAGGCGACCGGTCACTAAGCACCCAGGCATGAGACTTTGCAGATGCCTCCCCAGGGGCTGCCAGGACAGCGTGAGGACCTGAGCTCAGCAGGAGGGGGCTCTGAGGCCGTGCGTGGAGAGAGGTTCCTGACCTGTGGGCTGTGATCCTGAGACTGTTTAAAGGGAAGGAGAGACGAGGAATCACTCGGGGAGAGTCCGGCTCCCAGAACTCCACTGCTTGTACCTTTATAAGGACAGGGTCTTACGATGCTGCCCATTTGTCTCAAACTCCTGGCCTCCAGCAATCCCCCTGCCTCTGTGTCCCACGTCACTGGGGCTCTGCGTGTGGGCCACCTCGCACAGCTATGAAGGGAAATTTGAATTCAGTGGGTTAAAAAAATTTGGAAACACCTTACAGTTTACAGCACTTTTATGTGAACTTATTTGCTCCTCATAGCAACAGCATGGGTTCGGCAAAAGTATCGCTGTCTTGATTTTATAGTTGAGAGAATTACCTGAGACGGTTATCTAGCACCCACTTTCTTGTTCTGACATCTCTTTTGTGTTTGTTTGGACAGGCTGGAGCGCACTGGCACGATCATGGCTCACTGTAGCCTCGACCCCCTGGCCTCGAGGAATCCGCCTGCCTCGGCCTCCCAAAGTGCTGGGACCCATTGCCTATTACATGGTCTTCAACCAAAAGCCCCCTTGCCCTCGCAGTTAGCCCCAGGCACCGTGTGGAGGGCTGTACCAAAAGCAGAGCGCAAGGCAGGCGCGGGGCAGGGATGACCGCCCAGCTCTCACCTGCTTCAGTGAAGGGACTGGGCAGGGTTCCTCTGTGCTGAGCTGAGCTAAGGGCCAGGCGGGCTCAGCCTCAGCCCTCAGGCATGCGTGCTGGGGGACACGTGGGCCCTCACCCCTCGCCCCCCACCCCCCACAAGGCGCCTTTAGGGGATCTGGCCTCTGACCTCGCAGTCCATGGCCTGGGCAGCGCGGCAGCTCCAGCTCACTCCTGGCTCACGGTGTCCCAGCAGCGACCTGGAAGAGGACACACATGGTGGGCGGCTGCTCCTGGGAAGCCCTGCTCAGGACCCCTCGGCAGGTGCACACAGCTGGCCTGGGCTCCAGAAACGGCGGCTCAGCCCAGGTCCTGGCTCAGCCAGCACGCCCCGGGCTTCTTTGTCCTTGGTCAGAGCCAAGCTTTGTTCTCCTCATTCCAGAGACTGCCCAGGCCCTCAGCACCCTGGGGCTGATCCCACACCTGAGTTCAGCCTTCCCATGCCATGCCATGCCAGGAAGACCTCAGGCATCAGGGAAACAGGGCCTTAATCTCACGAATGCCATAAAATGTAAAATGTCTATAAAGAGAGATAATGAATTTGACAATTAAAAGATTAAAGCTTCGGGCTGGACGCAGTGGCTGGCGCCTGCAATCCCAGTACTTTGGGAGGCCAAGGCGGGCGGATCACTTGAGGTCAGGAGTTTGAGGCCAGCCTGGCCAATGTGGTGAAACCCTGTCTCTACTAAAAATACAAAAATTAGCTAGGTGTGGTGGTGCATGCATGTAATCCCAGCTACTCGGGAGGCTGAGGCAGAACTGCTTGAACCCGGGAGGTGGAGGTTGCAGTGAGCCAACATCATGCCACTGCACTCCAGCCTGGGTGACAGAGCAAGACTTCATTTAAAAAAAAAAAAAATTAGCTGAGCATGGTGGGGCCCCTATCCCTATTTCCCAGCTACCTGGGAGGCTGAGGCCAGAGGATTGCTTACGTCCAGGAGTTCAAGGCTGCAGTGAGCTAGGATGGCGCCACTGCACTCCAGCCTAGGCACAGAGTGAGATCCTGGCTCTAAAATAAAAGAATGACCAGTCTGGCCAACATGGTGAAACCACATCTCTACAAAAATACAAAATTAGCCAGGTGTGGTGGTGCAAGCCCTGTGGTCCCAGCTACTTGGGAGGCTGGGGCAGGAGGATCACTTAAGCCCAGGATGTGGAAGTTGCAGTGAGCGGAGATCGCACCACTGCACTCCAGCCTGGGTGTCAGAGAGAGACCCTGTCTGAAAAAAAAGAGAGACAGAGAGAGAGATCTGTGTGGGCATCCGTATAGTAAGTGTCTTAAAAAGACGGAACAAAAATTTCTACAGAACACCGTGAATAGAATAATCCCGTTTCAGAAAGAGAGTGTGTGTGTGTGTAGACACAATATTGTGTTGAACCAAATGAAATGGCCATTTCATAGGACAAAACCGAGCACTGGTAATTTCACATGGTTCCTGAATACACAGGAAATAAAAAGCAAACAGAGGTGTGACAGTCAGCCTGTGCCCAGGCAGAGAGGAGGTGGCGGGAGCCAGCACTGACCGGCGCCTTGCCCACCTCCCCGCCTTGGGGCTCCCGCAGGCCCAGGGACCCTGCCCTGCTGCAGGCTGCACCCCACTCTTTCACTGGGGGGCCCAGGAGAAACCCTGGCTGGGCGTGGCCGGGCGTGGCTGTACGGTACATAGGAAAGAGGCCAAGAGCAAATGACAGAGCAGCATGTGGACACAGGGAGGCGCCAGGACCCGACTCCAGGGCCATCCGCGGGGCTCCATGGTGGGGAGGAAGGGGACCCTGCACCCACACAAGACAAGGCACAGGACAGAGCGCACCTCAGGAAACACACCGTAGAGGCCACAGCAGCCCCCAGGGCCACTGCCCAGGCCACGGCACAGTGGACCAGACCCTGGCCTCCCCAGCAAGGTCTGGAGCTCCCGCCCCTCACCACTTCGTCCTCCAAGGAACAACTTCAGGAGTCTCTGTGGAGAAAGTGCCCACTGTCACCCCCGAGCTCACAAAACCAGCTTCCTTCACACTCAGACGCATGCCCACGCCACAAGCAGACCGTGGCCACCTCGGCACTGCAGCGAGCCCCCGGCAGACGCGAACGCTGTGTCTCAGGCAGTGGTTCTCAGCCAGGTGACGTGGACAACCAGGAACTAGCTGGTGCTGTCTGCGGACATTTAGGGGGCGAGCTCCTGGCACCTGGCGAGTAGTGGTCGGGGCACTGCTGAACACCCTACGATGCTTAGGGCAGCCCACAACTCATCCGGCCCAAAATGCCACTAGTGCTCAGGGCCAAAGTCCCACACCAGTGTGTCATATACACAGAGGAATACCACTAACCCACACCAGTGTGTCATATACACACAGGAATACCACTAACCCACACCAGTGTGTCATATACACACAGGAATACCACTAACCCACAGCAGCGTGTCATATACACAGAGGAATACCACTAATCCACAGCAGCGTGTTCATATACACAGAGGAATACCACTAACCCACACCAGTGTGTCATATACACAGAGGAATACCACTAACCCACAGCAGCATGTTCATATACACAGAGGAATACCACTAACCCACAGCAGTGTGTCACATACACAGAGGAATACCACTAACCCACAGCAGTGTGTCATATACACAGAGGAATACCACTAACCCACACCAGTGTGTCATATACACAGTAAGTACTGCTAACCCACAGCAGTGTGTCACATACACAGAAGAATACCACTAACCCTGGTGTTGGACATCATCACCACTAGGCCGGGTGTGGTGGCGCGTGCCTGTAATTCCAGCTACTTGGGAGGCTGAGGCAAGAGAATGGCTTGAACTCAGGAGGCAGAGGTTGCAGTGAACTGAGATCGTGCCATTGCACTTCAGCCTGGGCCACAGAGCAAGATTCTGTCCCAAAGAACATTGCCGCCACTAAAGACAGGGCTGTGATGAGTGCCCTGGTGGGATAACAGGGGAGAGACGCTATGGCAGTCTCCGGAGGGGACAGGGGGAGGGCAGCTCCCCTGGGCTGTGCCTCGAGGTCACAGGGCCCAGACCCTGGGGTCTCATAGCCTGGGACATGAGGCCGCCTCCCCGCCTCCCCCAGTCAATGGCCATGGAGGGCTTAAGGAGCGGGGAGCGGCACTGGAGGCCTGGCTGGTCAATTTTGGGCAGAGCACCAGCCCTGCACTGGGTCACCTCTGGCTTCATCTGTCACTTAAGTAGAAATCCAGTGAGTCGCTGTCAGCTGTGAGTGTGCCCAGGAGGGCATGGACGCAGACGAAACCAGAGAGGCTCCCCAGTCAACAGCGGCCCTGTCCCGATTCCGACTCCTAACCCTAAACCACGTTGCCAGGAAGAAGGAAACTCAGGCAGCCAGGAGTCCACGTCCCTCCCTTCCAAGGGCCAGTAGGAAGATGCCAGGCGGGTGGGAAACGGGAAATACCCTCACCTCCCTCAGTGAGGCTGCCGTGATGCCAGGACGCTCACAGCCAGGATCCCTGCGCCCTCACAGTGAGCAGGGTGAGGCAGAGCCCCGCACGCGCCATTTCCCTGGACTCAGCAGCCACCCACCAGGCACCGCCAGGCCCCCCACGCCCCCCATTCCTCACTACAGCCTCGCCAGGAAGGCGCTTCCACCCCGGTTTCAGAGTCACGGCTGAGGCCCCAGGGTGCCCCGGGAGGGCCAGGGGACAGCTCCGATGCTGCTGAGCTGGGGGCGCCAGACCCTCCCCAGTATGCTCAGATGCCAGCTTCGCTTCCGAAGCCCGTGGGCCTCCCACGAAGCCTGGAAGCCAAATGTCCCAGAACTCACTGAAAACACCACGCAGGTGGTCAGAGAGAGGCGTGGGTCACGGGGACAGGCACAGCACAGGTGCTCCGGAGGAAGGTGTCTAAGGGCCAGGTCTCTGCAGGCCAGTCCTCTCCTTGGCAACATGTGGTCATCCCTGTCTTCCTGGTCCCACTCATGGGGGACAGCTGACTCATTGAATTTCTTTCTTCTTTGAGACGGAGTCTCACTCTGTCACCCAGGCTGGAGTGCAACGGCGTGGTCTCGGCTCACTGCAACCTCTGCCTCCAGGGTTCAAGTGATTCTCCCACCTCAGCCTCCCGAGTAGCTGGGACCACGTTCAGTTCCCTCAGCAGCCAGTCACATTCTGCAGGACTCGGAGCTAGCGTCCACCCTCACCAAGCCCCGGCCGGCGGCAGGGGTGGTCTGAGAGCCACTGAGACGAGGTCACGTGGAAGCCTGGGCCCCGAGGCTTTGAATGACCACTGGTGAAAGCAACAGGCAGCCCCTCCCCAGGCGGGGAACGTGAGCACGGGGCGAGCCACAGTTGTTTCCCATTAACAATTTTCTGTTATGAGACGCATCTGGCCAGTGTTTCCTCCGAATGAAAATCTCCTCCGCAGAGCAAGGGAGGGCCCTGATGAGCCCCGTGCCTCCCGCCAAGCCCGGATCTCCTGAAACGCTGCCACGAATCACATTCACACACACGATGAACCAAGGAGCCACGGCCAGCGTCACTTGTGTTAGAAAACCACTCCTCCCGTGTGGGTCTTACCAGATCACACTTAAAACAAACCTCACGATGTTTATGTGTTTTTCTCTTTATAAGGTGAATGATCGAATCTTCGTGATTTTCCAGGGGCACTCAGAGTCTCAGGACAGTTTTAGAGGCAACCTGGACAGGTTTAAGTGGTTTAAGGCAGGATCGCCGGCGTCTGAGAGGGAAGACTTCATTATCCATTAACAAATCAAACCTGATCCTTCACAAGTGACGAACCTTTGTTCTTCGTTTTTCCCCCTTAAATAAGCAAGAGCATAATAAAGTCAACATAAAGCATCAAAAATGATTCTGCTGTACAGAACCTCTGCCGTCCAGGTGGATTACACAGAAAGGAAATAATAATCTTTCATTTTGAAGGCAAAGGCGTTCATGAGTCAACAAGGCAAGACTATCGAGGCCAAACTTTGCTAAAGTCGTGACATAATTCGTAGCTGCTTTTCGGCTCAGGTCCTGTGATGAGAAAAGGCACATACTTAGTTTTGCCCTTCCCTGATTTTTGTCATTTTTACCATATTTTGGAACACTCTGGGAAATCACTTCTGGAGAGAGTGTGGCCCAGGATATCCTAGGTGCCTGAGGCCCTTTTCCGAGAATCTGTGAGGTCCAAAGGCTTCCCTAACACAATTTCCTCCATCATTCTCTCA